CCGACACTGCTGAAATTTGCATGTGTACTGGTACAATCACGTTTTGGGACAAGACCGGTGCGTATAAATCGCATCTTTGACAGTAGCCATGTTTTCTTTGGGATTTATCATGCAAGCAAGATGTGTTTGCACACGTTTCGAGCTCCGAGGTAAGTCATCACAGAAATAATTATAGAAAAGACAGAGGGAAGCCACATCACTTATAAATATGTAAGATAGATTCTGGCAAAAAATATTATCTAACACTACACAGTGAAGCAAATTTCCTAGCAGCAGACCAAGCAATTGATTTAATATAATCATTCCACTTTTAGTGGTAAACATTAGCCCAAGAAGGTGCAATGGTTTCTTTTTCAAGATATCAAATCCATCAATAAAGCTGTTAAAACTGCAAGACATAACACTTTAAACTTTAAACAAGTTTTATATAAATTCAACCAACAAGCTCTGTATAATTAATTTTTTAATTATATTTTTTAAATTTTGAAAACTATATTTTCCAGCTTACAAGATGCTGCAGCTTGGAAGATGCACCTTAATTCTGGAAAGAAATTTCTAAGAAAAAAAAATCATTCTCATACAACACATTCACCATACATCCCTCACATACTGTCACCATGTATTGTTTATATTAATCACTCATCCGATTTTGCCAGTAAACAGAGCATGTTTAAACTTATGGCTCAGCTCCAGGAAGGTTTGTAGTCTTGGAAATACTTGTAACAGTTAAGTACTGAGATTACATAATATAAAAGACTGAATTAGATAGCTAACATTATAGTGTAATGGCTCAACATAAAAATCCACATCCCTATCAGTCTAGTCAATTAGGTGACTGCTCAAGCCTTACATTTAAGATGCACACATATTTTTCAGGGAAAAAAATACAGTAAATTGTTATACATTGGTTGAAGACAAACTGTCCAATTTTTTTTCTGTTTTTATTCAAGTAGTTTTAACTGTCCTGGTCATTATCAAGAAGTAAATGTTGTATCATAGACAAACATTTTGTTAGCTACATCCTAGCAGTTTTTGAAATGTTACTTTTCAAAGATTAAATATATATCTAGTGCAAGTGATGTCATGAGGAGAATGATTTCACTTAATAGCACCAGAAAACAAATGTATTGAATATTTTATATGAATTTAATACACAATTCAAAATACTGTCATATGTGGTGAAAGTTACTAATAGGTTTTTTATTTGTATACTAACTTCTTTGAGTGTATGCAATTATTTCCATACATAGGGTGTTCCATTAACTTGGACCGATTTGAAATGCGAATTAAGTTTAAGCATCTAATGATTTTTGTTTTTTTCTTTCAGATTTAACAACTTAAGTTTATGACAGTTTCAATCATCGAAAGATTAACAATCAACCAATGTGTTAAAGTTATCAAAGCCTATTTCAATGTTCATTTTTGTAATAGGCTTCAATGACTTTAACACGTTGTTTGATTGTTAATCTTTCAATGGTTGAAATTGCCAAAGACTTAAGTTGATAAATCTGAAAGAAAAAGAAAAAAATCATTAGACACTTAAACTTAATTTAAAATCAGTCCAAATTATTGGAACACCCTATATATGCAGGAGGTATAATGGTTAACATCTCAGAACAAGAAATCGAGAAACAGGTTTGAATTCCTATTGAGTTCATTACACAAATAGTCTTTGAAAAGATATGAATTCATCTCTTCTTCCTCAGCTATTGGTTAACTAGCAGCATAGACCAGGACATCTAGCCATGGTTTAGAACTAATCTAGGAGAAGGAGAAGTCTGAATTCAAAACTGTATATAGTGCTGTTGAAGCACAGACTATGCTGCCATCGACAAGCTTACAAATTTACAATGATTCTACAATCTTGACTGTGGCTGACCCTTGACCCTTGTTTATTTATTATTATTATTATTATATATTTTTCTTGGTTACTTGTACATGTGAATGTATTCCTAAGCATATTGTATATATTGTACAGCATAACTTGATCTCTTGAATGTTTCCAATGGAGATCTATTAGATTAGCATTTGCCATATAACAGTTACTTTTACTTGGTCACTAAAAGAGATCCTGTTTTTTTGCTTGGATTGGGCAATCTATCAGAATCCTACATTATTTTACTTACTTGGGGAATGTCTTATTTGAGTTCATACCTGTAGAGGTGAACCTGATTTGTTTATACTCTTTGCATTGTGTTATTGTCTCTATATTTTCCAGATCTATTTTTGCTATTCCCTTTGAGAGCTGTTTAGATAACTGTCCATCTTATTATTTCTTTTGTTACCCCAGCATTTGAACTGATCAGTTTTATGAGCAGAGCTCAATCTGTATGCAAGATTTAAAGGTTCCCTCACTTTTTCAAATGCACAAGCTTGAAAATTGAACAGACAAAATATTGTCATAATATTAAAAAAATTCTTGAAATCTGGGCCACTGGGAGAAAAGTTATCAGAATGTACAAAAAGATGTTGTACCCCTTTTAAAAATGCTTGCATGAAAAAACATAAACAGAGAAATTACTAAATGCAACAATAAAATATTAAGGATAGGTGAGAACACTATTCAAATCTTTGATTTGAAAATACAACACCATCAATAGCCAATGCAGCCAATATTACTAATGTTTCTGAGTTAACAGCAGATGAACTAAGGTCTGTGTTTCAAAATCTGAAACACTGACAAAAACCATACAAAGATGGCACAGTAACAGACCTTTTGAAAGATACAAGGAAAGAATCTCACAGAGGATTAGCACAGCTATTTACCCAGTGTTGAGAGAAAAAAAATAATTATACTTCATAATGAAATATATATATATATATATATATATATATATATATGTGAAAAGTGAATATAAATATAAATAAATATATATATATGTATAATTATTTATATATTATATCTTGTACTTATTCAATAACTTCCACAATAACACCAATACACGCAATCTACATAAACCCAAATTTTTTTTAAAACAGTAATCAGTTTGTCTGACGATCGCTAAAGCGTGAAACCCAGGGTCACAAACTCACATCTATCCAACCAAATATATATATATATATATATATATATTTATGAATAAACACACACACACATATATATATATATATATATATATATATATATATAAAGTCCCAATAATTCAAGAAAACTCCCATGATGTGTAAATCCACAACCAATATTTGCAAAAAGATGAAACTGACATAGTACAAAAGAAAAAAAATCTTTCAGACAATTTATACTTAAATTTTCATCAGAAACCAGGAAAGTTATTTTAAATACATAGACAATCATTCTGAAATAGAAAAAAAAATGAACAAAGAAATCCTTAACTAAAGATGGGTAATTAAATGACAAACTGGAAAAACATATTTTATCATTCAAAAGGACTTCTTCAGAGTAAATGGTTTTATTGATGGAATCTTATATATCTGTTGTTCGGGGCGGGAGGTGGGGAACAAAAATATAAACAGACATCAACTATAATTAAACATTGATAGAAAACACTAAGATGCAGGGACACTTAAATTTAAATACCTGGCAGCTGAAATCTTTAGCCAACTTCATACAACTTCTTCCTTTTGTTTTTATTACTGTTGTTTTTAAGTACCTCACATTGTTTTATATATATATAAATATATATAATATGTGTGTGTGTGCATGTTGATACAATAGGAAAGAACTGTTAGATTGATGATATGAAATTCTTTAGTATTTTTGTTTTTATTTTTAAAACAGTGCTCGATACAGAAGTAGAGCCTAGATTATAATTATTTGTGTTGTGATGAAATCATATTTAAAAAAAATAATTATAATATATATATATATATATATATATATATATATATACACGCACATACATACATACATACATACATACATATATATATATATATATATATATATATATATATATATATATATACATACATACATATATATATATATATATAGAGAGAGAGAGAGAGAAATATAAATAAAAGGAAAGACAACAGGAAAAACATTTTTATACTTTAGTGTTTCATTCCTTGACCTTGATCAAAATAAATGTGAAGATTTTATTTCACAATTTTTTATGTAATTATTTATTTATTTCTCCCTCCCTTCCTCTCTCTTTCTACATATACATTCCTGAGAAACATGGTGGAAAAAACTCCTGAAAAGGATGTTTCCCCAATCACTGAATTCTTAACCTTTTCTGATCTCAGGTCAGCTATTATCTATTTTACATATCCTAATAGTTTCTCCACTTTTAGTGTTGGGTGAACATTTAATAACAAACAATATATCAAGTTGATTTTGACCATCTGTAGTCATTATTAGAAATGTTACATAACATAGAAGAAAGTTTTTATTAGCTTCATGCTGGCATTTTAGGGATATATACTTGTATAATATATATATATATATATATAAGGCTCAAACACTAATATTCCATGGTTATAATTTATTACATTGGGATTGTAATTACAATCCAATTGAATTTGTAGGTCTGGTGAATTGGATCATGATTATGATTCCAATGTAATAAATTATAACCATGGAATATTAGTCTTTGAGCCTTTTATATTATATTCTTACTCTGTCCTGGACATTGAGTTCTACCTGGATTCTATCCTCTTGGGATTTATCTTTATATATATATATATACCACTAATATTATCTATCTATCTATCTATCTATATATATATATATATATATATATATATATATATATATATATATATATATATATATATATATACACACACACACACTTGTATAATATGCAAGTAACATCACGTGTAGACATTTCTATTTTTAAATTAATTTGTTTATGGCCACAAAGTTGACAACACATGTGGATAAAGATATTATCGTTGTTTTTAAAAACAATTTAAACTGCCATCCTCATAGCAAAAGTGGCTGCTTTTAATATGGGTCATTTCTTGTATATAATAATAGCATCAAGTATTTTGAATCTTTTTATAGTATTTTGATTCCTTCTTTACTGTAAGCTTACAGTCATATCATGTTGAAGCACCAGTTCCCTGTATGATCATTGAAGTTAAGCAATATTGAGCCTGGTCAGTACCTACATGGGTTACCACTTGCATATACCAGGTGCTGTAAACTTGGATGTGTAGGTGGTGTAATGAATAATGGCTCAGGATTGTTAATTGGAGACCTGAGTTCCAATTCCATTGTTTTTTTTTTATATTCACTTACATGCAAATACCCATGAGAAAGGCATGAATCCACCTCTTCTCCTCCACCTATAGGTTAATTAGTAACACTTGTATCACTGAACTGTTATTATCTCCCAAAAAATTCTTACAATCTAAAAGTATTTTCTGGCTTTAAATAATCTGCAATGGGTTGATAAGCTGTAGAAAACAAACAAATCAATCAATCTTAACTGTAAGTGCTTCATGATATTTATGTTAATAATTGTCTTTCAATTGTGATCAATATGTGTAGGTTAACCTGCAAGTGAGAGTGCTGTTTGTGTGACCAATGTGAGAATTTAAAGTTATTTTTTGCTTATTATTGTTTCTGAGAGTACAAAAATTAATGAACAACATTGTTTTTTAGATTAGAGTGTCTTGACATATTGGGAATATATGGTTAGATGTTAATTTTGTAATAGATGTTAAAACCTAGGTATTTATTAGAATCATTTAGTGACATGTACTGGCAAATTAGATTTTTAATGGATGTTTTATTTTGTTTATAGTTAGAATTTGTCTGATTACAAAAGAATAGAATAATATTTTTTTTTTTTTTTTGAACCAGGAATGTTCTCAATGTTAATTTTTCTTAAAATTCTTTAGAGCTAATTTGATTTGCTCATTAAACTATTGCTAATTAGCATTTGCTCTATGTTGCTGAATTCTTTGTCAGAATTAGGAAGAATTATATATATATATATATATATATATATATATATATATATAGTGGAGTAATGGATTGCTAGTCAGATTAAGGAATCAGAGAGCAAAGTTCAAATTCTTGTCAAATCCATTACACTCACTTACATGCTAATACCCTTAGGAAAGGTATGAATCCAGCTATGGGTAAAAAGCAGAATAGACTGGGTTCTATAGCCTTGGGTAGCAACCAGTCTAGGAGAAGGGCAGCTCTGAATTCAAAACCTTTGGAGGATCATTTGGGGACCTCATGTCATACTTTGCACCAGTTCTGTTTATTCAGCTCTTCCAAAAAGTGTGGTTGGTTCTGCACAAGCCTTCACCACTATGTATGGGTTATCTGGCTGTTGGTCCTAAGAACTAAGCTGCTTGTCATCATCATTGCCATGACTGGGTGTAGTCCTAAGGTCGTTGTATGGCTTAGTCCATTACCCTCCACATACCTGGGCTGAAGCCGAGAGGTATTCCTTCATGCATAGCATGTTTTGCGTAAGTAGACCTGCTTGACTCTCATACATTGAAAATGACAGTAGAGTCCAGTTTATATATATATATATATATATATATATATTCTTTATAAGTGTTAAGAAGAAATTATGTAAGACCTGTTTAAGAGTACAACTTATACCATGAAATCCAGTAATAACTGCTGCCTGTTCAGGTCATTGATAACTAAACTGCTTGCCCCACCAGGAGTTTCTGTTTTTGGACAGTGGTTAGACACTCAGTAGGATTAAAAACAAGACAAACAGTAGATGAACCTTCTTGTAGGGTCAGTAATCGTCAAGCACAATGAGGTTGACTGGGTTCCATGGATACAGCCAATGCAGTGATGACACAGCTGAGAGATTCCAAGACTGAAGTCAATCAACAGAGTAGAGAATATCAACTGCTACATGTCTGTGACTAATGTAATTTGAATGACATTGGCTGTGGTTTAACCTGGAGAGGGATAGGCTCCGGCAGGTTTACTTACCCAAAACATGCTATGCATGAAGGTATACCTCTCAGCTTTCAACCCAGATATGTGGAGGGTACTGGTCAGGTACTGAGCTGGACAATGACCTTATGACTACACCTAGTCATGGCACTGATGATGTTGAAAAAATTACTTAACAAGAGTTTGTACTTTTTCTTCTATGTACTATGTTCCTTCAGGACATTGGCTATCATAGATATCCACAATTTTCTCTCTTTTGTAGTTCTAATTTGTTTTTGATTACTGTAGTGACATTAAATATAGTATCAGTAACAGCTCTAAATTAACCTTATCAGCAACAGCTCTCGAATACAAAAACATGTGAACCCTGAAGTAACTTTTTTCTTCTTCTGGGTTTTTCTTCTTTTGAGCTACTGACATGAACTTTCCATACTGAAGCTACAAGGGCTGTGAATGCTTCACATAAAACACACCAACAAAGTAAGTTCCCACTATAATTAATAAACATTTCATTGTGTATGCAATTTACTTGTAAGAAAAGAAAATCTTGTTTTAAATTTTACTTTTGTTTAATTTGTTTTAATAAATGTTATCTTTGCATTGCAAATCACCTGGTCAGTTATTTTATGCATGTAATCTTTACACCACTATTATTTGATGTGCTATAAAATGTTCCTGTAAGAAACCTTGTGCATTTAATTATTGAAGTTGTTAATCACTAAATTATTACCTTGTTCTGCCATCCATTTACTCAAGTTCATTATGCATTGCTTTCCTCTCTCTTACCTCCAATATGTCTTGTGAGTATCAAATTTTCCAAGCCCTCTTTTCTCATTATGTGCTCTAGAAATTTCAATTACCTCTTCCTGATATTAAATATATTTTTTTTATTTCCATTTTCTCTAAAACTTTGTTTTTGCTTGTATGTTAGGTCTATGGTATTCTCAGCATCCTTCTGTAGAACCACATTTCACTTGTTTTAGGTCTCTTCTTCATCTGAGGAGATTGTCCAGCATTCACTACCATTGCCTTTCTGTTATGGTGAAACACACCTATTCTATAGTTAATAGACTCTCCCACCTAATATAAGTAGGAGTAGTAAAAGAAACGTGGGTTAGTGAATGTCGGATGACAGTAGTTGACAGTTAGTCGAATACAAAAGTAGCCAGCAACCGCAACAAGATTACTCTGCGTAATACCTATTATATCAAGTTCCTAACGTTTTGTACATCAAACTATTTTAGGACTGATTTAGTACAAATACAAGCCTCCACTGCGAAATAACTCCACAACACTTTCTATTTTATGAACTAATAAAATTATGACTTAAAGTTTGTAATTAATTTCAATTAAGTTCATAGCTAAAGTTTACAACAGTTTTTTTTTTTTTTTTTACAAAATATTCTTTTAAGTGTTATATTTCTCTAATATGAATGCATCATCAGCATATCAAGCATATACTTATAGGTTTGGCAAAAATCCTTAAAATTTTTCAATTTATTTTTATGCAGTGGAGGTTGGAAATGGATATGGTAATCTTTATAAAATCAACAAAATACAATACTTACCAGGAGTGTGAAGTAGGTAAACCACTGCTAGTGGTGGACTACTTACACAGCATTTTACCCCACACTTACAATAGTGTCTAACGTATTTATGAGGATTGGGACATACCCATTAGTGTTCATAGGTATGTTATATAACAAAAACAAATTCCTTTAACAATTAATCTCTGAATCATTTCTTCTCAAACTGAGTGATATGTCAAATCTCCTAGAGAAAAATAACTGCAAAAACTTAAATCTAAATTTTCAACACACTCCATACTCTCCTCAAAAAAAAAAAAAAAAAATAAAATATTGTTATTTTAAATTATTTCATGTGGAAATTTCATGGTGCCTTGTTACAATTTGGGAATAAAATGCAAGTAACTTTTTATTTTTAAGTTTTATATTTTGTATTATTTCTGAGATATAAAAGCAATGGATATTTTTGCTTCACTTGTATCTTGGAAAATATAACAGTGACCATTTATATGAGAAAATTCTACCTTCAATTATCACCTATAATTCCAGGACTCCATATTTCTTGAGACTGGCTTATTTTTATTTCACAGGCTGCTGCTTCTTGATTTTCAAGTGTAATTCAATGCTTAATGGATTGTATGTATAAACTCCATTAAATTCATCAGGTGCAATTCAGTTACAGTTTTTTTTAAATGTGGCAGTCATTTCAATTTGTTGAGATCATAGTTAGTGAAATCTTTTAAAAATAAATTTTTTAATTAGTGAAACATTGAAACAATAAAATGATTTTTCTCTTAATTTTTCTTACTTGACTTGAAGCTTAAGTTGCATGAATTAAAAATAACCTGGCTAAAGAAAATGGTTTTTCAGGGAAGTAAAAGCAAACGTCTAAAAATATTAGAAAAATAAAAATCCACTTTCAAAGATTTTAAATCATGGCATAATGCAACATTGCAGTGTTTACATTCACTTGGTGGGGGGGGTTTATCATCCTCTAGCTGCAAAGTTGTAGCCAAAAAAAAAAAAATTTAACATTTGGACATATATCATCATCTTTGTTGTTTTTATCACTTGGTTGCCTCCTGTCTTAATTTCTGGTAGGAAGAATTATCATTATTCACATTTGAACTAATATCGTCATCTTTGTTGTTATTATCAACTGATCACTTCTTGTTTTAATTTCTTGACTAAAGAATTATCATTTTTTACATTTGGACTAATCTCCTCATTTTTGTTGTTGCTATCACCAGATCACCTCCTGTCTGAATTTCTTTGGTGAAGAGCTATAATTTGGTGTTTACTCATTCCCCCGCGAGAACGAGATGTGACACAAGGTCGGATTAATGTGGGGACCCAAGCATGTACACTCGGGCATGTACACTCACTATGAAGAGCTATAATTAGTTACATCATTTACATTCAGACTAATATCCTCATCTTTGTTGTTATTATTACTGTATTTCAGCATTGTTCCATCTGACCTTCTTCAGTTGTCTATTGATTAAGGGGTAGATCATTTTCATTCTGCTGGGTATATCATCTTATACATGGAAAGAAACAGTGCTGTTACTAAGAAGAAGAGTTTAAATTAATGCATGCAAAATTTCACAGCTCTAGCATCATTCCTTCATAGTCAGTCTATGAACTTTTCAGCCTGCTCTCATACATAAAGGAATAATGAAGTGCCCCGCCTCCCGCCACACCTTCAGAAAATTAGTACAAGATGTAATAAGGCCT